AACGTCTTTGAACATTGATGGCCAATAAAACCCGGCTTGAAGAATTTTAGCTGAGGTTTTCGATGCTCCAAAATGACCAGTATAGTCCGAAGAGTGACAATGATGAATCACACTCCGGACTTCCTCTTTGGGCACGCATCTCCTAAAGAGGCCATCCTTGCCTCTCTTGAAGAGGTAGGGTTCTTCCCAAAAATAATCTTTGATGTCTCTGAAGAACCTCTTCTTCCCGTTGTAATCCAGCTCGTGAGGAATGTACCCGCTAACAATGAAGTTCACGTAATCAGCATACCACGGGTCTCTCTCTTTCACTTGGACAGCCATCACGCAATCATCTCGGAGACAATCATCAATGGGAATATCTTCATGTCGCTCAATCCGAGATAAGTGGTCGGCCACTCCATTCTCTGTACCGTTCCTATCTCTAATCTCCAAGTCAAACTCTTGTAGCAAGAGAATCCATCTGATCAACCTCGGCTTGGCATCCTTCTTGGATAGGAGGTACCTCAAAGCAGCATGGTCGGTGTACACAATCACCTTCGACCCGACCAAGTAAGACCGAAACTTCTCAAAGGCAAAGACAATGGCGAGTAATTCCTTCTCAGTGGTGGAGTAATTGACTTGTGCATCATCCAAAGTTCGACTCGCATAATAAATGGTATGCAGCTTCCTGTCTTTCCTTTGACCCAAGACAGCCCCGACGGCGAAATCGCTCGCATCGCACATAAGCTCAAAGGGAGCTTCCCAATCCGGTGGCTGAATAATAGGCGGAGAAATCAACGCCTTCTTCAGAGTCTCAAAGGCAGCCTCGCACTCATGGGTGAACTCAAAGGGCGCGTCCTTTGCAAGTAATTCGGTCAAAGGCCTCGAAATCTTCGAGAAGTCCTTGATGAACCTCCTGTAGAACCCGGCATGTCCCAGAAAACTCCGGATTCCCTTAACATTCCGTGGAGGCGGCAGCTTCTCTATTACTTCGACCTTAGCTCGGTCAACCTCAATCCCCTTTCTCGAAATCTTGTGGCCTAGCACAATGCCCTCTTGGACCATGAAATGGCACTTCTCCCAATTCAGCACAAGATTCGCCTCAACACACCTGTCCAACACTCGGCGCAAATTCATTAGACACACGGGAAAGGAGGGTCCATGGACGAAAAAATCATCCATGAACACCTCCATAACATCCTCAATAAGATCAGAAAATACAGCAGTCATGCATCTCTGAAATGTCGCCGGTGCATTACATAAACCAAAAGGCATCCTACGGTATGCAAAGGTGCCATATGGACATGTAAAGGTGGTTTTCTCCTGGTCGCTAGGGTGAATGGGGATTTGAAAGAATCCCGAGTAGCCATCAAGAAAGCAAAAGTGGGAATGCAAGGCTAACCTCTCTAGCATTTGGTCGATGAAGGGTAACGGGAAATGGTCTTTACGGGTGTTGGAATTCAGCTTCCTATAATCAATACACATTCTCCAACCCGTAACCGTCCTAGTGGGTATCAATTCATTACGCTCATTCTCTACCACAGTGATACCCCCCTTCTGTGGTACAACTTGCACGGGACTAACCCATGCACTATCCGAAATCGGGTAAATGATACCCGCATCTAACAGTTTGAGCACCTCTTTCTTCACTACCTCCTTCATGGTGGGATTCAATCTACGTTGATGCTCAATGGAGGTTTTGGAACTATCTTCTAGATGAATGCGGTGCATGCAAAGAGATGGACTAATGCCTCTAATATCATCCAATGTGTAACCCAAGGCATGCCTATACTCTCTAAGCAAAGTCACTAAAGCAGCTAGTTCCTCAGCAGTCAAAGCAGCATTCACAATGATCGGGTAAGTAGAGTTAGGTCCGAGAAATTCATACCTAAACCCCTGTGGTAAGGGCTTCAATTCCACCTTAGGCGCGCTCTCTGGATCCCAAACTTTCTTCCCGCTCGTCTCCGCATCGGGCTGCTTGACTTGAATGGAGGAGACCAGAGCTTGATGACTTGGAGAAGGTGATGGCTCCTCT